ATTTTTCATAATTTCCTTTTAAACACAATTTAATTCAGCTTTTAGTTCATTCCTTGCATTAAATTAATGATTGATTGAAAGATTTATTTTTATATAAGATAATCACAAAAATTTCTCAACCGTTACATCAAATCTGACTAAATATTTTTAATGTTACAAAGTTTTTTGCAATATACAGTGTACTAAAAAATTTATCCATTTATTTTTAATGTAATTTAATTAAATTTTATACACAATTAAGGGTTTTAAATAAAATATGAAATACAAAAAGTCCGAATGGATTACGTTTTTATCACAAATCAAATGGTCGGCCACTTTGGCAATGACTTTACTTCATTGCGGAGCACTATATGGCGCATACCTGTCCATTAAAACCGGAAAATGGCAAACACTTGTTTTTGGATACATCCTAGGTGACTTGCTGTTGATCTGAATGAAAATTTATCAATAATAAATTTGCTACTATTATTGACTCAATGATTGATTAGCCGTGTGCTCAGGGATCGGCACATTGATGGGAGCGCACCGATACTATTCACACCGGAGTTTCAAAGCCAAGTTGCCGTTAAGACTGATTCTGTGTTTCCTGCAGACCCTGACGGGTCAAAAAAGTATAGTAAACTGGGCGAGGGAGCACCGGACACATCACCAGTTCACCGGTACTGACGCCGATTGCGCTAACATTAATCGCGGCTTTTTCTTCGCACACATGGGATGGCTAATGACGGACACACATCCCGAGTGCCAGAGACGGATGGATGAGTGCAATGTCGACGACCTCTGGGCCGACCCTATCGTTAGGTTTCAATACAAACACTACGGTCTCCTCTATACACTCGTCAACATTATAATGCCGACACTATTGCCCTCATATTTATTTGGAGAATCACTCATTAATTGCTTTTTTGGCACTTTTATGTTCCGATATGTATATACACTTCACGTCTCGTTTTGTGGTATTTATTCATTTCTTAAATTAAAATTTATAATTAAAATGTAAATTTGATTTTTAGGCAATTCTGTGGCCCACATCTGGGGCTCTAAGCCCTACGATAAGACAATAACTGCCACTCATAACGAGTCGGTTATTTACGCCACTTTAGGCGGCGCTTATCATAATTATCATCACGTCTTTCCATTTGGTACTGTAATTAGATTTGAAATGAATTTCTTTTAGTAAATCCTCTTTAATCCCAAACAGACTACAGCGCCAGTGAATTGGGCTGTAAATCTAATTTCAATTTCATGACAGCCCTCATTGACTTCTTTGCATACATCGGTTGGGCGTACGATCTGAGGAGAGCACCGGTAGATATGATTGTTAAGCGAAAAGAAAGAACTGGAGATCAAAGTGAATATACAGAAAGCAATGATCGGCGGCACCCACTTATACATTGGATACTAGGC